TACCTTAACATATGTAGAGATAAGTTATTATCATCACAACATGCATTCTAATTTTTTTTATCCACCAAACAACAACTTATCCATCTCTCTTCACAGTGACCTCATACTGAAAAAAAATTTAATATATTCGCAATAATAATATATTGTTTTCAATCGATAATTTTTTTATTATGTTAGGTGACTATACAAAAAATTCGAGTGTTTAGAAAATAATAATTAATGTATGTATCATCTAATAAATCATGAATAAAAAAAATGAATGAAACTTTTGATGAAAAGAAAAATAAATAAATTTTTGAATAAAGAATGAATTAATCGCAAGATGAAATCTTAGATAATTTTTTTATAGATCGTATAAGGGAGAAAGGCATGGAGATGGGATTGATACAATAAACTTTTCAAATCCCGATCACGATCAGGTAGAAGTCTTTACGCGACGATCGTATAAACTACTCATAAAGTTTCCAGGATTGATGATATCTCCACGACGTTAATTAATATCACCGTCACACATCGTAGTCAGCCGCAAGGGAAAGATTGTAATGCGTATTGAATGTTAGATCTACCTTCTATTCTATATATTACGTCTCTGAACCCTAATCACGATTAGATCTTCATTCTATTACAATGTGTCGCACGTCAATTTGAGTATTCTTCATAGCCGTTCACTTGAAACTATTCATTGAATATTCTTTCCGCATTACATTTATGCCGTTTTTGAATTGTACAAATAGGATACACTGTCGTAAAAACTATTTGGGAAAAAATGAGCGAAAAATAAATGAAAAGTACACTTATTATTTGTCGCCGCAAGCAACTCAAGAAAATGAATCTGTGCGGATAAAGCTAATATATATCTGTGTGTATACATCAAGTTGAGGGTACTACGCGTGCCTGTATACATCTTTGATTAAAATCTGCTGATTAAATTTATCTGAGGATCTGATTATACCAATAATCAAGTTTGCAAAAAGAAATCGTATATCTAAGTATATGTATTTGATATTTTTATCAATACTTCTTTTAGCTTGGAGTCACGCTAGGGTTTTTTTTATTTATTACTGCGTACTTGGATCCAGTAGATGCAACTAATAAACAACAGATACCAATTAAAATGCATATTTAATTCAATTAATTTCCATTCTCATGAGCTATGATTATTTTATTAATTAATCACCGTAAATTAGTCCATGAATATTGCTTTGCATTTTTTTTTTCTAATAATTAACCACTCTACTATGTTTAGCCAATTTTTTAACATTAAATTAAAGCAATAATTCTCACTAAACCAATTTCAATTAATTAATTAATTAATAATAATAAAGGAATTAAGTATTAATACAAAATAATAATTATATCAATAAAAGTATTGCTATTTTTTAAACTTAAATAAAAAGATTCAATTTTTGCCAATTTTATTTAAATTAAGAATAAAATTAATATCGACTGTTGATTAAAGTCAGTATGAAATCTCTGTAATAAATAAAAAAAAACTTTAATGAAAAAAATCCATCAGCAGTGATTTGTTGATAAAATTCATCAATACTAAAAGAGGGTATTGGAGGGATTATTAAGAGATTAAAAATGAAAATATCGAAGAAACGTTTTATAAACTAGGAATAAAATAGGTGGAGTAGAAGCCAAGTGGTGTAGAAGGTCTAGAGATTCGTAGCGGAGGGTGGCTTGAACGGAAATCAAATGATAAATCTATCGGGTGCGCCGTAAGGTCGAGAAGCTAAATATTAGTGTGTAAATGAGAAGATAGAGGAAGCTTGATAGGTATAAAGTGTATAAAAGAGCCAAGTTCCATCGGATATTAATAAGTAATAAGAAACAAAAAAAATTTCACATTTTAGCAATACTCAATCTCTCCTTCTCTCATCTTTTATCTATTTATTTCCACACAAAAAGATGAATCTACTTTTTCACTATGGCTCTGGTATGATGAATAAATGTTAATTAACACGCATCCATCCATTAAAAGTCTCGGTAATAATATCTTAGATTTTTCTATCTCCTTTCTCGTTACCCATGTGTGTTTGTGTGTCTGTGGATAATAGGAGATGAGTGTCTAGGTGTGTGTGTGGGGAGCCACATGTTTACTCGTTTGTTACTTATATACATGTATAGAGTTCTATACATCGAAAATAATCGGCGGGAATGAGTGTTGAGGGCCGACGGAAAGTAGAAATACTCGGCTGATTGTATTTTTCCAAATCAATATCATTAATGTAATTCAGTGAGGGTGTCTGATGAGAACGCGATTATACGCTCGCAGAAAATTCCTGACCGTTCTTCTAATCATATAAGATCTCTTGTATATTAATAATACAATCGGCAAAATACTCACGCGTTGCCATCTACTCTTTTATTTACTTCATTTGTTCTCATTTTTCCTTTTCTTGTATTTTTTCCCCCCTCCTTTCCTCACTATCTTTCTGTTATTAATTTCTATCTGGTTCATTTATTATTAAAAAAAAATAATAGTCAATCAAAAAGGTAATAAACGTCAGCAATAAAAATAAAATTGAAGGAAAAAGTAATTAGAAAAATAAAATTAACTTATATCTTATTAAATAATTTAATTAAAAACAAAAAAAAAAATTTTTCAGTGCTTTTGTAAATAATTTGCGTAGTGTTGCTGTGTAAAATTGTTGTCTTTTATATTTTACTAACCGGCTTAATTGATCTTAAAATGTGATCACTCGGTACTTAAAGCGTACCCTGTATGTACTATAATTAGTAATTACTGTTCTCTGTGTATATAATTGCTATAAATTAAAGAATTTAACTAAAGAATAAAAGCTGGTCACTCTCATTATAGCCAGCTCGACTAATTGCCCATTTCTCTCGTCACCAGTATATGTATTAGATTGTAAACACTCACAACATTCTTAATTGCTGGTCATTTTATTCGTCCCTTTTTTTTTCATTACTCTAACAGTTTTATTTTCCTCTAGCTTATAATTAATAAATTTACGGGTTTTTTTTTTAAAAATTAGATACGTCACAAAGTCAATTAATAATACATTTATTTATTATACCAAAATATAACATCATATATTTTTCATTCTTCCTGTTTTCAATCCAAATAAACAATACTGATTTTGAACATAAATTATCAGGAAAGCGCAGAATTCAAATGGAAGGTTTGTGTGCATATAAGTTGATTGATTGGTAAACTGTAATATCGATAAACTCACATGGTAATCATCCATTGCAGGTTAGCATAATTAACAATGTTTGAAATCAAATATCTCAGAAACTAGTTTGAAATTTGAAAAAGTAAAGTGACCAAAATTTTCCTTATACTTTAAAGAACAAATTAGTTTCCATGAAGTATATTCGAATTTTACTTCGTTAAAAAGATATGAAGCAAAATGTGCGGCCTCAGGCCGGTCAAAGTTTTTTTTTTTAAAACTTCATGATGCAGACACCTTTTTGCATGCAAATGATTTTTTAAAAATCGGAGCATACTTTTTGCATAAAAAATACAAATATTGTAATAGTATTTGCGACTAAAATTGTACTAGAACTAGACTAAAAAGCAAAATACTTTTTTTAAGTAGTCTTTTTAGTCTATTTCCTTCTTAGAATAGTGTTTAATTACATAATTGACCAGAATTAATTGGCAGCATGGCTTAATTGCTGTGTCGAGGTACATAAACGCATCAGTTTTATCACTCTCAATAGCAACCATAAAAGTTTAGAGGCCCTTTGAAGAAATAATAATTGTCACATATTTGTGAAAAGAAAAGTAATCACAGTGAAATGGTTGTGAATTTGATAGACGTTTTACTCACAATTGAATCGTTTGCGTTGCATTAAAGAAATTAAAAAAGAGTTATATAACTTGAAATAAAAATTTCATCTACCGATTTATATAGTCTATTACAACTTTATCTGCTCTTTTATCAATCATAATAATTCTCATTTAATTTTAAAAATTTACAGCTGATCATAAATAAATTTCCCAGTGATTGAATAACTTTTTATTAATGTTAACTAAAGAAACATTTAGTGTCATTGTTTTATTGTAAATTATCATAATTAAAACACTTCATATCATTGGATCTTTTGTACTCCAAAGCACTTTTCGTTGACAGAATATTTAAAATATTGTGAGAAATAATAATATTAATAAGAGAAAAGAATTAGAATAATATATTTAATATAGAATTAAGTATCATATTTTGATATCGATTATATGAATTATATGTTTACATTATTTGACTTTACTACGATCTAAAAAACTACAAAATTCATCGGCTCATTCAAAATATTCAAACTATTACGTCGAAATTATCAGAATAATGTGAACATAACAGGTTCATTCTTTTACAAACCTTTTCTTCTTATGTTTGATAAAAAATGTCAACATACGCGTATCACAATTCATTTACTACAATTTATTTCTTACAATGTATTGATGAACAAAAAAATTATTCATGTTACTACAAACATTAAAAAAATGTATGAATTTAGACATTGTAAAGTTAAGCAAATCTAAAAATGGCTTTCTTAAATTTTAAACTATTTCTAACAGTGCTGGTATTATTCCTAGCTTTTTATACTTAAATTTCAATACTTCTCTATTTTTTTAATGTATTAATTATCTCTAAATTATCTAAAGTAAACAATAAATTTTTACTTATATGTAAATGAATATACTTTGGATAAATAAAACCCAAGAAATTATTAAAAATAAGAAATGCTAAGAATTATTAAATAAATTCTATATAAACTAATTAAACCGAATTGAAAGCATTGATCGGCCTTTAGATTTTTCGACGAATATAATAAGTATAATGATAATAATAAATAGAGAACACATGTATATCGATTGATGACCTAAAACGTCACTCAATTTCGTTGTACGCTTTCAAAGTCAGTGAAGCCTTTTGTTATGATTTATTCTTCAATAAAATAGATACCTTTAATTAATCTTTTGTGTATATTTATAATGACACCAAAATGTAATTTACCAACAATATACATACCAAACATTCTCCTAAATTGTTGAGAAGTGTGTATAGTCCATAGACAGATGTATAATTAAGATTTATTCAAAGATATTATTAATGATACGATGATGATAATAATAATAATAATACTAATATATTTAAGTTCTTAAACACTGAAGAACTTTTTATTCATTCACTTAAAGTATCACGATGAAATCTCGAATTTTTATTTCGAATCAATAATGTTCATTAACTAGTATTATAATCACTTGTGATTAATTCACTAAGATTCCAAAAATAAATTTTACATTTATTTTTTTTTTTAATTAAAAACTACCTCAATAGATAATGAATTGAGCATTGATTATTGAAACACAAATAAGTAGGTAAAAAATGGCGCACTTAACTAGTAAACTCACGTGGTCGGTTTGTTTGTATTGTCAAGAGTGTCGCTACTTCCACTGAGTCAGAACCAATCAAAGCATCTGCTCACTCTAGCTATTGTGTGTGATAAAAACATCTGATCACATTTTACCCTAATTTTTTTTTTTCACTTCGCATTTTTACATATTTATTTCAATGTTGCCATCACTGATTTATTTTTTTGCCACTGATCTATTTTTATTTATTCATATTTATAGAATTAATTAAACTTGATTAATTCCTGTTTCAATTAATTATTAGAGAGTTCACGTTCATTATAAGACTCCGTGTTAAACTTTGTGTCAATGTTTTTATTATTAATATTAATTAATAATACCTCTTCATACGAAATTATATTTCTTTGAAGGTTAATCACTTTTCGTCATTCATGAATAAAACAAAATCACCTTTTATTGTTACTTTTTAAGAAATTGATTTCGATTAATCGAAAAAGTTAATAGCACTAATGAATATAAAATAGTCCTTAAATAACGTTGAAAAATAAACTGCCATATAAAACTAATCAGTTAACTAGACGATTGACCATTTACTCCTCTTTATAACTGATAGTTAATGACAACATCAGACGTACTCGTGTAAAAATCGCGTGGTGCAGTTTGCATAAACTTATAGAGCATGCGTTTTATCCAGCGTCAGACGCAAAACTACCTCACTCCCCTTCACGCGCTTTCTCATACCTTCTCTCTCGCTCATCTTATCCCTTCCCACTTCACTCCCACGGCGACACGGCCTGTGATATCTTTTACGCGCGAGTCTTGTCTAGTAAAGTATATATACACACATAATACTTATACCTATACTAGTATAATATATTTCTGATACTCTCTTTTTTCTTTCACCTTTTATTTGTCCGAGAGAAATGATGGCTTTGGAATTATCTTGAAAATTAGCAGTAAAGTCTGAAAAGCTTCATTTTATTTATTTATTCAATGAATTTTATTAATAATTATCTTAAAAATTTATTTAAATCATTTCTAATAAATAAACTGCAATATTTTTTTTTGTAAAATAATTTTTACACAAATTTAAATGTTTATTATTATTATTTTTTTTTGATGTTATAGGTTTTCTTAATTTGTATGGATAATTTTTATAGCATTATTTAAATGAAATTTCAATTATTAATGATGATAGTGAGGAAAATTTTATGCTCATTATTGCAATTTTCATAAATTAATGACACTATTTTTATGACATCACATAAATAAAATTTTTTGCAACTAATTTTACTCACACCTTAATTAATAATGATAATTTCGCAAATGATGAATAAAAATTTAAATATTCAGAATAAAAATCATGTCAGAGAGTTAATTATTTCAAAATAATTACAAAGAAATATTTAAATTTTTTATTGTGATCCAGCTGATTATCATATGATTTTTATAAAATATATTCGTTACTATTCATTTTATTTAATGAATGAAAGAAATTATGTCATCACTCAATTTATTTTCTCAAATTATTTTAATCATTATACTTCATGTTTCTTCAACATTCATTGACTACATAGATATTACGAAATTTGAGTGTAATTTAAGTTATTTAAACCCAAATTATCTATTCACAAAAATAAGTTATGTATGTTAATCGTAAAGAAAAGAATGTTTAACAATTCCATAATGGTTTTAAAAATTATTTAAGTTTAGTTCTGATGTTTTTGAATAAGTCGTTAGAATAATATACCTCTACAAAGTATTAATTGAAAAACGCCTGGAGTAATAAGATACCTTTCACGCGATTTATTGATTACATGCTTAGAAACGCCATAAGGATGTTTAAGTTTAATGGACGACATACTAAAAGGTCTCTCGTGTTTAAATAGCATACCAATCATTGACGAAAAAATTTATTTGTCGAGTTTTACTAATTTCATTTGAATAATCGAACAAATCTCAAGCAAACCTTGTTCAATGGCTACAACAAAAAAAAAATACATTTTACTTTGTTATCTTAATTATCTTTTTTTTTAAATTTTATTTCTTTGGCAATTTTTTTCAGCAAATATATTGCATCAATATTTATTAACATTTTTCATTTATTTATTTATTTATGTAATGAAAAAGTATCTGATTTGTTTAATTAATTAAAAATCTTTTATAAAAATTAATCGACACTTCTCTAATTAAATTCTAATCTAAACTCATCAGTGGCTAAGAAACTCAGAGCTCGAAACTAGTCTTCATTCCACCAACGTCTTCTATACATGGAGAGGACGTGTGTTGTTGAATTTTTTATCTCCTCACTGATGTAATGTTGAAATGAAGCATCCAACCATACTAAAAGAAGGTGTAATAATTTTATCAGAATTTTTTATTAAATAAGAAACAAAATTATCGCTAAATAACAAGATTAATTTTAAATAATAATAAAAAAGAATTAAAAATGTATGTCACCCAACTTTTCATGTGCAAATATCCTTTTAGGCTTTGCATAATAGATACAAGTATCACAGCGGGTGCCAGGGAAAACAATTCACTTAAAAATGAGGGCAAAAAAAATTTTTTTGTCACATATTCACATTCGATCACTACCAGGTTAAGTGCCATCATGGTATAAGCATAGGTTGTAGTCTCCTTACATGGCTTAAACTTAAACTATAGCCCACGGTGGTCGTAATAAAGCGGGGCCCTGTTGCCGATGGTAGGCAGACTTTGGCATTGTGATGCAAATGTGTCTAATCGGCCGAGCCAGCCGACCATATGTCCGTTGTGTCTGGCCAACGAGAAGGATGAATAAGACGGAGACAACTACAAACGACAACAACAGAGACAGTGATGATGATGATGATGGTGATGATGATAATGATAACGGAATCATGGTGTTGTACAGAGGAACGAAAACAAACCCTTACATTTTACATATTCCTCATCATTAATTTCACTACGGAAATTAATTCAAAATGGATCCTAACAGCAACATCCTTACAATGATGATTTAGGAGAATTGTTACAATGATTTGTATGAATCGTTTAATGGAATAATGGTTCAGATAAAAAATTACTGTTGAATACGAACTGACCTAGTTGTTGTTTGATTAAAAAAATACTACTTGCTTCAAGACAAAGAGTATCACATACTCTGATATTATCAAAGATGATGATCTAGCGAATAAATTCATTTCATTACGTATTCAATTACAAGTCAGTTATTTTTAAAATAATTATTTTATAGTTTAAACTCTTTATAAAAAGCTCGTCATTTTGGAGTTAAAAAAAGCTACTTCATTTTGTTTTTTGTTGCTATTAAATGAAAGAATTGCAAAGTTTAGTTACTTAATGTGTTCAATTTGCGAGTCTCTATGAGTTCATTTGAAACAATTTAATATTTTTTACAAGTAGTGTTATAAAAATAAAAATTTCTCGAAAATTAGCCTCAAATTTCCGGCAATTTAAATATGTTAATAATATTTATCTATCAATAAGAATAAATTTCAGCATGTTTTACAAACAATTTATTCAAAATAACTATTAAAGCTAATTGCTACCAAATTTAGAGAAGATACAATACATTATTTAGACTTTATAATGCATTTAAATATATAAAAGTATCGTATATTTAAATATTTAATTCGAAATTAGTTCTACATTATAATTTATAATTTTTTTAATGCCCAGGACATTAGGAACTATGACGAAATTAATAATTCAGCAAAGGGCGCAAATGTAAATAAGCAGGACTATAATGAGTATAACGATAATGAAATACCACACATAAGTAAATGAAGAGTGATCGATGAAGAAGAAAAAAAAATGGTAAAATGAATGAGGTAGAATCATCACGTATATACGATACGATACTTTGAGAAGACGGCAGTTGGTACGCGAGAAACCAGCAACCAGTCAGCTAGACGTATATATTTAGTCTCGATTATTTATGATTACGATTATTTCGGTCGGCTTTCGAGCACTTTATTGAATGTTTAGCATGTGCCTGCTACGCTAATTCTGACTGCTTAGACGTATAACTCCAGTGTATATCTCCCACACCACATTTTTCTACCTTATTCCACATATAAACTTCACCCTTCTGTTAATTTTATCGCTCAACCACTTTTATTGTTGCAACTATTATTTATTCACTTGCACTAATATATTCTGGACCATGAAAATTACTTATTTATTATTTAACAATTGTGTTTTAAAAATAAATACGTCTAAATAAATAGATTGCATGCAGGTTTAGTTTAATTTTCTTCAAGAGATTTTAGCAAATAAATAATACTTACATAAATAATTTACATTGTTGGGAGAAAATTAACAATTTTTACAAGAAATAAATTTCTTAATTTTGGCACAATTAATTTCCAAAATGAGTAAAAACAAGGCTAAAAAAGAATTATAATTTTTTAATTGAAGAACAACTGTATAACATAAAAAATCTTCTATTAATTTTTTTAAATCAATAATTAATTAATTAATAATTAAAAGTGTCATTTTCAGTTTTTCTTTACATAATTATTGATAATTACTATTTTTCAAATAAAAATTGTATTCATGATTGCTCAAAAAATAATTATTCTGTTTTTTAATTCAATTTTTATTAGTTATAAGTTTTAAATAATATTTAAAAATGTAAATAATAAAAAGAATAAATTTAAAAAAAGGTTGTTTATGGATTATTAATATTTTATTGAAGAAGAAATGTCATGCAGTATCAAAAAGAGTTAATTACGGGTAAATTCTGTAGTTCATAAAATAAGTGCACAAAATATCGGTGTATATTGAGAAGAAACTGTAG